AAACAATTCAAGAAACTTACTTTTTCTATTCTGCTGCCAATTTTCAGTATGCCACAGATAAAAGGCGGAACATTCTGCAAGAGGGACAGAAAACAAATAAAAACAAGTTATTAAGATCTGATAACTTGAGTAAAGTTTTCTGCTTGAATGCAGTATCATTTGGACAGTTGCTCTGGTCCACGTCAACACCTCAGGAAATATTCTTGTATTCAGTAGCAAATCCTCTGCCGCATGTTGATGCGGAAATACAGAATGCATGAATACTGTGACACTTCAAACACTTCTGCGATTATCTACATACCAAAGAATCAGCTGATACATGCAATGAAAACCACCCAAAACAACAGTACTTCCTCTCCCGAGATCTTCTGCTCCTCCAAATAAATTTTACTATTGGATATACAAACCTCTACATGGAGAACGAGATACAGGCTGAGGAAGTAAGACGAGGCAAACAGAGGCAAGAAGAGAAATTGGAATATACACAGACCCTCTCACGTAAAGATCAAATGGGAGACTACCAGAGAAGAAAACAGCACAAAGAACCCATCACATGGGACAAAATGGAAAAACTGCAGGGACATCCTGAAGTAGAAGGAGGTGAAAAGAGAGCACTCGGATAGCCTGAAGGAGGAAGCAGCAAAAAACAGCATAAGGGAGTATGAATCCACAAGATCAATGCAGTACAGGAAAACGTAATAATAGAAAGTCATATAACAGTAAGATGGACTGGAAAAGCATAGATTGGGGTTGAGCACAGATTTTCAACAAATAATTCTTTTTTTTTAAACATGTCATACTTAAATTTAAAAAAAAAAAAATCTCTTCCCTTCAGCTGCTGAGAACATTTCTTATATCATTCTCTCCTCTGCACTGTTAAGTCAGCAACAATAGCAAGTTTTAAATACCATTTGTTGAGTGAGGAAAAAATAACTGAGGGGGAAAAAAAGTATTTAACTTGTGCATTCAGGAGTGGTGCCATTTTTCTCACTGATAGGACTCTCTTTCTTAGCAATTTACAAGGGCCCCAGTCAACTGTATTATTGACTCTGCAAATATTTAGTAAGTTATCCCAACTGTAATAAAGCCCACGACACACTTTCTTTCTAGAAAGCTGCAACTCAACTATCAATTTATTCACTCGAGCAAAAGGAAATGTCTAATTTCAGATATCATCCCAAGCTGCATAAAGGTATAGATTTAATTAACCTATTATACCCGAAAACTTACAGAAAGTTAAAATATAGTACTTACAACAATTTTTTTAATTAAATCAACAAGGTCTTCCAAAACCTCTAAATCACAGAGTCTCTTCCAATTCCGGTCTAAAATCTGTGAACTGCTTAAAACCAGAACAAGTTATTATTTACAAAATTAACACTGTATTACATGGTCTTGATTACTAATAGTTACTGTAACCAGATCTAAGCAAGAGCATGGTTGCATGGTTACAAACCCAAATCAAGCCCTTCAGAAAAGGGAGGGGGAAAAAAAGAAAAAAACAGTTGCAAAGCTTTTGGTACTTTTGAAATACAGGGCATCCATTTAAGTATCTAAATACACTCTTATATTCCAAACTTCAGAAACCCATTCTTAGTATTTCTTTCTGTATATTAAAGAACTATGCCCTCTGACCTTAACTAACTTAGCCCACTGGTAAAAACATTCCTGTAGACAGTTTAGCCACTACTGAAAGTGTGGCTTTCACAGGTAACAAGAAGAAATGCAAAGGCCATGAAATCACTTCAAGAACATAATTACTTACCTCCAATCGGATACCACAGAATTACTTTCACTTTTGAAGAGAAGAGGCCAAAAGATGCGTATTTTAATAACATTGCAATATTCTCTTAATAAATCAGCTGGCTGACTGCACCACACTTCACAGGGATCAACATCTTTAAGAAAACAGTTAGGAATTAGACTACACAATTCAAGCACTACAAGTAATCAAAGTCCAAATAAACATTCAAAAACATCAGTTATTTCCATACTGTTCCTATCTAACCAAAACAAGAAAACTTGAACACTCTAAATACATCTGTCAACTTGAGGTTTTTTATAAATTGAAGGGGCAGAGGGAATTTATATGGAGGGACCTACCTGCAGGTTTCACATTCCGTGCTCAAGGAATTTCCTGTGGTCTGAATTGTATTGCTATAACACATTAGAACCAGGCAGCATTTATTCATTTGTAATTAGGAGCCTAACAAGGGCTGGGAGCTGTTTAATGGTTACAAGGATGCTATTTTCAAGACAAAACATGAGCCTCTCCTAACTGTACCCATTTAATTATTTCCTACAATAAATTCAGAGCGGTGTGGCACATAGCAACATGGTACAAAAAGATCAACAATATTCTTTTTTCTCCAGAGGCCACTAGGTGTGTGATGCATGGCTCTTTCAAAACTACAATCCATTTCCCTCAGAGCCTGTCTTTAAAAGCTAAAGATCCTTATTACACTGTTGAGGTGGCATCAAGTACTCTCAGAGCTGAAGCAGTATTATGTCATATGCAAAAATTAATTTTACACAGCTGTGTTCATCAGAGTTTCCTACATATTACAGGTTACCATTTGAATAGTGAATACAGTTATGAAGAACTTGACTTACTGTTGAGCCACCTGCTTTTCTGCAACTTAAAAAAAAATTTAAATATTATAACTGCAAAATGTTACCTACAAAGATCAAATTGAAAGTGTCTTTAGACTTACACAGATAAAAAATAGCTATAGTTAAAACACAAGTAATAAACACAAGCCTTATATCTCCATCCTTGTAACATTAATAGCTGCATGTATGAACATATTATTGACAATTTACACTGTTCTCACAAATGTATAGCAGTTTTCTGTACATTACATTAGGACAAAAATATGAGAATTCTTCCAGTGTAACATACCAATGCTTCTGCTCAGAAATAATAACTTTCTACTTATTCAGATAAAATACGGGAAAAAGTGCAACACCAATCAAAAGATCAAGCATAGCACAAAAAGTGCATTACAAAGTTACGTAATATTGGTTTAGTTTACATACCTGTTTTAGGCTTATGCAGTGATTTCTGTATGAACACTCCATGACCCTAAAGATAAATGTATTTTTTAACATTGCATATCTTGCAAATATGTTATGCTAACTACAAACAACAATTACTTAACTCTTTCTAAATATTAAACCAATATAATCTGTTTAAATTAGGGAGGAATGGAGGTGATTTTTACATTCTGTCACCAGTTCCGTTTCTCAAGAAAAGGTAATTATTGCACATATTTAGACAAGTATAAGAGATGGTCTATGGTTGTATCTTCATAAGCAAGCTGCATGATCAAATAGGTTATAAATCTATAAAGTAAAGTATTTGGTACTGAGCAGTCTACTTTCACATTATACGCTCTTCATGGGGTTTTAGTTTGCATTGGTTCAAGACCAGCCCCATTGACGGAGCACCCATTTGTGGCTGATGCACATTACCTACACTCTTAAAAGCACCTTCTAGACTAGTTTCAACCCCAGTGAATCCCACTAGCGTACTCCAAGACCTCTTCACAACAAAAGCCAAAATATGAAAGACAGGGACAATCGGAATATTGTTTCAAAAGCGTTCTGATCCAAACTAAAATGCACACACATCAATTAACAAAATTAATTAATAATTATCTAAAATTATTTTGTTAACTATTATTTACTATAATTATTTTCCCCTCTACTCTGCTCTTGTGAGACCCCACCTGGAGAACTGTGTTCAGATGTGGGGCCCCCAACATAAAAAAGACCTGGACCTGTTGGAGAGAGTCCAGAGGAGAGCCATAAAATTGGTCAGAGAGCTGGAGCACCTCCCCTGTGAGGACAGGCTGAAAGAATTGCGGTTGTTCAGCCTGGAGAAAAGAAGGCTCAGAGGAAGCCTAATAGCAGCCTTCCAGTACCTGAAGGGGGCTACAGGAGAGATGGGGAGAGACTCTTTATCAGGGAGTGTAGCGAGAGGACAAGGGGTAATGGTTATAAGCTGAAAGAGGGTAGATTGAGACTAGACATTAGGAAGAAATTTTTCACTTTGAGGGTGGTGAGGCACTGGCCCAGGTTGCCCAGAGAAGCTGTGGGTGCCCCATCCCTGGAGGGGTTCAAGGCCAGGCTGGATGAGGCTTTGAGCAACCTGGGCTAGTGGAGGGTGTCCCTGCCCATGGCAGGGAGGTTAGAACTTGATGATCTTTAAAGCCCTTTCCAACCCAAACCATTCTATGATTCTATGATTTAGTAATTAACTAAAATACTCATGCATACACCATGGACCTAGAAAGGAAAATTATTTCTATGTATCTACTCATTCTGAACAGAAGCTTTTTTAATTTTTTAATAATGCTCATTCAATGCTCACCAGCATCTTGTTATCTTCTAAGAGCAGTCTGAGGTGGGTAAATTCCTCATGCTTTTCTCCCCCACCCCATTTCCCCAAGAATAAAACACTATTGGTGTTCTTGATTCTTCCACACATTTCTGCAGTTCTGTCAACTGTTTTCTAAGGAAACTTAAAGTCTGCAATACTTTGCATTATCAAACAACAAACCCCTTTGGATCTTTATAATCCACACTAAGCACAGCCAAAAAGCAAACAAAACCAACAAAAACAAACATGGAAAAAACACGTTTACTGGAGTTAACTAACACCAAGGTTTAGTTGCTGTCTTATGAAAAAAAAAATTTACCTGCACACCCGTTAAAATGGGTTAATGCCCGTGGGTTAATAGTTAGGAGTTGCTGGAAAAAGTTTTAATAGTATAAACAAAATATTAAATCACACTGGGATAGTATTCTAAAAATTAATAAATCAAAATCAGGTACTACGCAGGAATATAACGTTCAAGAACATCTAAGGAAACATGTTTAAGACACAGATTTTCAAAAAATAATTATTAAGTTTTTATTTAATTAAGTACATTTATTTAAATATACCTTCACTAACTGGTTGATTTACTACTTCATGGCAGCATACTGTACCAATACTTTAATGGGTTTAAAACATAGTACTCCATACAAGCCTCTCAAGCTGAAAAATACATTTTCTTCTGTTTTACAGATCCCTACAAACTCTATTATTTTAAGAAACATTATGTGTCATTTAATAAACACTACATATCACGTCTATGTATTGCTGCATTTTAATATCAAAGAAGCGCGTAGCTATGTTTGATATGACTTGCGAAAAGTATAAAAGTATAAAGTATAAATTACCAAACACATCCTTCACAAAGTTTCTTCAACAGACTATTCTTTCAGTGGCAGTCTTTCTGGAAATACTAGTATGCTGTGCAATGACGACTTACTAACTTGACCTGAGGCGATGACAAGCAACCGCATGATTTCGCCTGAAGTATTGTTTCTGAACTATTACAACATTACATGTAAATCAAGGCTTACTCTCAAAAATAAGTTATTACAACATTGACATATTTAGCAGACCAGGACATTCAATAATAAAGAGGAAAAACTTTATTTATTATTTCAAATAAGTTAATCTTGAAAGGTGACTGAATGCCTCCTTCACTCCACAGTGTGGAATTTGCTACTATATTAAAACACAAAACAAACCACACACACCTCCTACACACACACCCTCTATACATCAAGCCCAAAGTGGTATTCCCACCAAAGCAAACTTTAAAACCAAGATTTAGTACTTGCACAGAATCAAGGGCTTTCTTTCCACAGCACAGCACACACATCACCTTAAGGAATAAAACATCAAGTATCTCATGCTAACACAACTGTTAAAGTACTTTTGTTCACAGCTGACAAAAAAAAAATATTTATTGATATAAACAATTTCCAATGAGACTCACTACTCTACTGGTAACTGTCCTTTGTAAAGGTACAGCTTTACAAATAAGAAATTCAATTTACCTGTACTTTTTATTTCTGCATAAGAAGAGAATAGTAGGCCAGCTAGTTTGTATTTCACAGCAGCAACACTTAGGATACATAACTCAACTGAACACTCTAGGTAGCAGAAGGATTAACTACCACAGTGCTCTCTAAGACTACTTTAAGCACAGCAAGTAGTGGAAAATAAGAGTCAAGGAAAGCATTGTTGGAAGTATTAGAACAGAAGAGTGCTACAGTTTATTGAATAAAAGCAACAACTAAATAAGCAGAGGTCTTATTGGGCACAAAGAACTAGAAAATATGTAAAAGATTACAAGAACAAAGAATGGGTGAACACTCTGCAGATAATTTGCAGACTTGAACTTCCACAAACTAAGCTGTGATTGCTTTGCAATTAAAGGAACTGAATCTGTCACGCTGAGGTGTATCATCCCAAGTATGGCCTGGACATGTGGCCAACAGGTTGGTCAAGTTTTGTTAACAGGACCTATGCACCACTATCTAGCTTTACATAGTTGTATATGTATTCAGTAAAACTTGCCTGATAGAAGATACACAGTCTCTACGCTCTACCCTAATTTACTACTTTTGTGAGTGAATAACACTCAGCGGTATAAGGGATCTTTGCATCAGTTTGAATTAATCAACTCTACCAATTACTCTGCAGGTCAGATTTGGGTGTAAATCCCACTGGAACATCTTGTAAGTTTTTCATCTAGTTCCAAACGTACTTACCAATTCACAGCAAGATTTATCACCAACATAAAAAGGCAAGGCTTCAAACTCGGAGTCAGATCCAGGTTCACCCATGGTACATGATCCTGAAAGAAAAGCATTATGAGAAACACATGAGGGTTGAAAGCAAGAGGCAAATAACATGTGTTCTGCAGGACTTAAAATTATCACATTAAATTACACTCTGCAAGAGTTCCACGGAAGATGTGTTCTTATTTTTACCTAGCACAGGTTAACGTTGAAAACAGCAACCTAAAGCATGGGGTAAAAAGCTAGTTAAAACGACCAACTCTAACAGTCTTCTAAGTACCCGACGCCTGACAGTTCTCCTGCACGCTGCCTCACACCTGACAGCCAGGGGAGCGAAGGGCACTTTCTACCAGGCGGGTCAGGGGTAGCCCCGGGTATCACTGCCACACCCCGGGAGAGCGGAGTTAAACTCCCCGCGGGCTCCGCCGGGCAGCCCCGTCTGACAGAACCAGCGACGCAGCCCCCGCCCCGTCCCCTCCGCCAGAGGCGAGGCAGGGCCC